GTCTTCATGGCGTTAATGTGGAACTAAACACTGCTAGACAGACTTTCTTTTCAAGCCTTATAAACAGCAACTTAAATAATGCTCGTACACTCTTTGCAACGATAGAGAGACTCACAACCACCCCCCAATCCCCCCACCCAGTCGGATTCCAAGTGAGCTCCTCTCTGAAAGCAAATGTAATGAGTTTGCTCATTTCTTCACTGATAAGATCAATAATATCAGAAAGGCAATCAGCTCATCCAATCAGCCAAATTGTGTCGAAGTCAAACTAGCTCAACCACAACTTAAGAAATCAGACATTATGTCTGATTTCATGGCAATTAATGGTACAATCTTAGAAGAGACTGTGCAAGCTATAAAAACATCAACCTGCAGTCTTGACACGCTCCCCACATCATTCTTCAAAACGCTGTTTACCTGTTTAGAAATGGATCTTCTAAAAGTGGTAAATGCTTCACTTCTCTCAGGGATTTTTCCAAACTCACTTAAAACTGCAGTTGTTAAACCCCTCTTGAAGAAGAGCAACTTGGATAACACCCTATTGAGCAATTACAGGCCAATCTCAAATCTCCCTTTCATTGGCAAAGTCATTGAAAAAGTTGTTTTTAACCTGGTTAAAAAGTTTTTAAACTTAAAGGGGTGTTTAGACAATTTTCAATCTGGGTTCAGAGCACATCACAGTACAGAGAGCGCTCTTATAAAGATAATCAATGATATACGCCTAAATACAGATTCAGGCAAGCTAACAGTGCTGGTATTGCTCAATCTCAGTGCTGCATTTGACACTGTCGATCACAGCATACTTCTGGATAGACTGGAAAACTGGGTTGGGCTGTCTGGCATGGTCCTCAAATGGTTCAGATCTTACTATGAAGGGAAAGGTTACCATGTCAGTATAGGTGACCATAGGTCAACGTGGACACCCATGACATGTGGAGTCCCAAAAGGCTCGATTCTGGCACCTCTCCTGTTCAACCTTTACATGCTCCCTCTGAGCCAAATAATGAGAAAGAACCAAATCTCCTACCACAGCTATGCTGATGACACTCAGATCTACTTAGCATTACTGCCTAATGACTACAGCCCCATTGACACCCTCTGCCAATGCATTGATGAAATGAGCAATTGGATGTGCCAAAACTTTCTTCAGTTAAACAAAGAGAAAACTGAAATGATTGCGTTTGGGAACAGAGATGAGGTTTTCTAGGTAAATGCGTACCTTGTTACTAAAGGTCAAACAACAAAAAATAAGGTCAAGAATCTTGGTGTGAATCTGGAGTCAGATCTGCGTTTCAATAGTCATGTCAAAGCAGTCAGTAAATCAGCATACTATCATCTCAAAAACATAGCAAGAATCAGATGCTTTGTTTCTAGTGAAGATTTAGAGAAACTTGTTCATGCTTTTATCAGCAGCAGGGTGGATTACTGTAACGGCCTCCTCACTGGCCTTCCTAAAAAGACAGTCAGACAGTTGCAGCTCATCCAGAACGCTGCAGCCAGAATTCTAACCAGAACCAGAAAATCAGAGCACATCACACCTGTCCTCAGGTCTTTACACTGGCTCCCAGTTACATTCAGAATAGACATTAAAGTATTATTACTGGTCTATAAATCACTAAATGGCCAAGGACCTCAATACATTACAGATATGCTCACTGAATACAAACCCAACAGACCACTCAGATCTTTAGGATCATATAAACTAGAAGTTAGAAGAGTTCAGTCAAAGCAGGGTGAATCGGCTTTTAGCCACTATGCCCCCCGCTGCTGGAATCAGCTTCCAGAAATGATCAGATGTGCTCCAACATTAGGCACATTCAAATCAAGACTGAAAACACATCTGTTTAGCTGTGCCTTTACTGAATGAGCACTGTGCTGTGTCCGACAGATTGCACTATTATGTTTTTCTCTTCTTCTTCATTCTTTTATATCACATTTTACCTGTTTTTATGTTTTTTAATCAGTTTTATTATTATTATTATTATTTTTACTTGTTTCTTTTATTCTTGTTTATGTAAAGCACTTTGAATTGTCACTGTGTATGAAATGTGCTATATAAATAAACTTGCCTTGCCTTGCCTTGCCTATTATATCTACTTTTTAAAAGTACAGGTCGGTCGCCTGCTTTATGATATAAAAGGATTAATCATTAATTAACTTCACCTACATTTTTGGCTTTGTTGTTACGTAACATTTCAGCATGAAATCCATTAGCAACAGCACAACACCTTGTCACCCACACACATATGCAAAAGAACATAGACAAGTTTTATTGTTTCCATGATTGCATGTAAAATTTAAATATGTTAATAAGCATTAAGCCCCAAATTCACATCAAGAACAATAACTGCATTAGGATTCAATCTACACCAAAACAATGGACAGTGCAGTGATATGAAACTGTAATGCAGCCAAAACCTGCTTGGAGCCACTTAAGCTATTTGTGTTGAAAAGAAACTGCACACTTTAAAATGTTAATTAGAATGTGAGCAGTTGGATTTTAATACACCTGAAGCATATTTATTGAGAACAATGAAAACCGAAGAACAATAAACAAGATGAACAGGAAGCTCAGAGCATTATGATAGTCTTAGCATCAGAAATACACAGCATATTCCATAACTTGACAATGTTTCTAAAGTGGCAGAGGGCTGATAATTGTATGATATTTTAAAAAGTCACATTTTTTGTTTATTAAAGCAGAATTATAATAGCAGACAAAGCAACTTTAGATCAAGCTAGATTTAAAGTTGTCCAAAAGCTTTATTTTACAGGATTTTTATCCAGTGAGTAATATCTCTGATTGTTTTGATTACATTAATGATCTCTGACACAGGCTTGACTAAATGGTTTCCATCAGCTGTAAAAATGCATATGTCAACCCCCATGATGCCATCCTCCTTCCTTGTGTCATCATGCAGTGTCTTTGTTATTTGAATGACTTCCAGCATTGAGACTTTCATGTTCTGACTTTTAATATCAGAAAGATTAGGGTCAAAAGTATGGCAGAGTTTTTAATGCTGTGTTAATTGTGTAGTTGGTCAGACAAGTATCATTTTCAACACATGAAATGTGCAAATAATATTTAAAAAAAACTAATAATATGAATGTTAATATTTACTGTAAATTAAACCTTTTTCCTTTGACTTTTAGACCTGATGGAGGACAATAAGAAGAAAAGCTTCATCCCTGTGATCAATGTGGGAAGAGTTTCACACACAAAGCCAACCTGAAAGATCACATGAAGATCCACACAGGAGAGAAGCCGTACACGTGTGATCAGTGCGGGAAGAGTTTCACACAGGTAAACAATCTTAAGATACATATTCGCTCTTATACTGGAGAAAGACCATATAACTGTGAGCAGTGCGTCATGGATCAGTAGGTCATGGATCAGTAGGTCGTGTACATGAATCTGGCACTGGTAAGGACGTCCTCATCGTACAACATCAAACCTGGAATTTATAAACAACTTAATATTGCTCATTCATTCATTTTACAAATTTTTAAAAAGTACATAAAAGATAAATAATTTGATTGTTTTTTGTAACTAAACATAAAATTTCAACCATTAGGCAATTATAAATGTTTGCTGGATTGTTCTTGTCTAGCTTAGTTAATTCATGTTAGATATAAATAAATACATAAGGTTCTGAAAATGGCTCTCATTTGTTATTATGTTTATGATTTGTTTCATGTGATTTATGTTTCACAGTTCTGAACTTCTGCTAAGCAAGCGTCTAAATGAGCATCGATGTGACCTTATTTTCAAGATGCATTGAGGGAATTTTCAGAGAGCTAACATTTCAGTGCACTGGAAGAATTTTGCTTTTGAGACCGCAGTTCAAATAGTGATGCCCTGATCACTGCCCTCCTGACTACTGAACAAGAGAGCTGATTGAGACGCACCCTCAGACTTTCCCAGAGAATTCAGACCTCACAGGTGTTTTCACTGTTAGATTTGGTCGATCGGGACATTTAAACACATACAAGGATTCATAATGTAGAAAAACCTTGTAAGTGTTGTGATGAGATTTAGTTTGACTGGACAGTTGGACAGTTCTTATTTTCTCATAATTTTGTGGTCACCAACATTTACTCTCCTTTTTTGCCAACTCAGTCTACCTATGAAGAATCACTTCAGAATTTATGGCAAATCCTAGCAGTGATAATATCTGTCATTATTTTTGGGGAACTTGTTTTTTTGGGAATCATGATTTTTTTTTTTTTTTTGCCTAATGAATGATAAATGACATCGAACGTGACTGAGATTGAACAAGATGGAGTCTGGGATTCTTAGTTGTTGTCTGTACTACGTTATTATCATTTTAGGCATGATTACCATTAGAAATTGAACAAAATGTTATTAATCATTTCATATTAGAATAACATTGTAAATGTTATGTGTGGGCAATATGACAAAACAACTATGGAGTTAGACACACTTGCATTATCCCTCACTGTATTTCCAGTAGTTCCCGCATGGCTGTTTTTTAAAATATTAAAAGAAAAAGATTGACAGTGAAAGAGTGGAAAATTTATTATTTAAGGGAAAATACATTGAAACAACTGAAATATACACAGATGCGCTAAGAATTAGAAGAAGGGTAGAAGTGTTGCATATTATTCCAAAGTTAAAAATTAAAGCAGCAAAAAGAGTCAGTAATAACTCAGCAGTTTATACAGCAGAATTTGTAGCAATATGGTTAGCTCTAAATAAAGCTGTGATTCCATCTGATTCAAGCTCAGCACTTGTTAGTATTCATTCATTTATTTTATTTTCAGCTTAGTTCCTTTAATAATATGGGGTCGCCACAGCAGAATGAACCGCCAACTTATCCAGCATATGTTTTACACAGCAGATGCCCTTCCTGCTGCAACCTATTTCTGAGAAACATCTATTCACACTCATATACCACGGACAATTAAGCCTACCCAATTCATCTATACCACATGTCTTTGGTCCGTGGGGGAAACTGGAACACCTGGAGGAAACCCTCGTGAACGCGGGGAGAACATGCAAACTCCACACAGAAACACCAGCTGACCCAGGCGAGGGTCGAATCAGCAACCACTTGTTAGTATAATAAATTTAATATCAGAGTCATATATAGCTATTTATATAACTTTTTGAAAAACACAGGGTTAAGTCACAGAATTTGGTGTTTAGTATTATATTTATTTATTGGAAAGTATGTGTAATTTGTAGAAGGAACAATGGTTGTGATTTCCCTCTCACTATAAGAAATATGTGGGTTTATGAACTCTGATCCACACTCCAGTCCAGATGATGGCGGTAGTGCTCCAAAAAACTGGTTGCCAACCGCCATAAAATAAGAAGATTCAGGTGTCTTGTGCTTCACACTGCTGTCCAGTTGAAGGCGCTGATGAGCCAAAACTTTCGATTAACTTACATTTTAGAAAACATTGAAGGATCTCAGGTGTGTTTGAGCTGTGACTTAGTCTTTTTAAAGGTTTCTGGATTCTGTTTCTGCTGCACAAGACCGTCTTCTCGACAGTAAGTAACGTAAAGCTTGAATAATCGTGCAGTGATGTTATTTTTGTGAATTTTGGATGGCATTTCATATGAATTTGTGTTATAAAGACCGCGGAAGTATAGTCAAGGAAAATACACCAGTGATTCAAAAAAGGTTTGAAGACGAACCGTTTGGTCTGATATATGATGCTAAACCAATGACTCGATTTATTCTATGGTTTTCCTTGGGTGTCCATGGATGTCCTGCCGAAACATGTCGAAATGCGGAAGTATACTGGGGCCTAGCCACTCCGTTCGGTTAGAGTGTATAAAAGTAGCAACTCGCGAATAAATTTCCTCCTTATCGTTTATCATAGTGTTCGGTACAATTTTTTTTCAACCGCTAACAAGCATTGTGCAATACTGAAGCCACTTTTTAAAAACGTTAGTGTTCACACTTCATTACTAACATGATTCTAACTAAACAGTTCAGCTCAGGCCCAAAACGCCTTGCATAACATAAACACACAGCAGGTAAAACATGACGTTGTTATTGGCTGCTGCTAGATGATTGAATAAATGCTTTTTTTAACCCATGTCTTTTTTATTAGATTTTTTTTAATTTAATATTTTTATTTCGAACAGAAAAATCATTCACAAAACAGTTCTTTAAACAAAATACATTTCAAGATGGTCTAAATGGAGCGGGATGAAGTGAAAGCGAAAGCTTATTATTTTCCCCACACCATTACCACACACATCATACATTTATTAATTCAAATTATTTCTTTTACTAATCTCTTTTTTTTTGCATGAGACATCTGAGCTTTACATGATACATTTTGTCATTTTGGCATATTTGACATTATATGTTTGATTTAATTTGTACATTTACATTTTATAACACAGATCCAAAAAATACATAGTTTACAAACCATTTATACAAACAGCCATTAATTAAAATTTCATAATGCCCTTCTCATTTTGTTATTTTTCAATCACTTCTATTAATCATTAAATTAATTTAATAATATATATATTTATACAACTTTTTAAATGGATTAATATCCTGACATTGTTTGAAGATCTGTTCCATAATTTTACACCACATGCAGACATAGTTTTTATTTTTTATTTTATTTTTATTTTTTTCTTCTCTCAGATTTCATCCCCATTTTCTTCTTCAAAAAACTTTTGTTTGCATTTTGGAGGTAATTTATTTCTTAATTTAAATTTAACCAAATCATTAAGTATCTTCAATTAAAAAAAATAAAGAATCAGGGATTTGTGTGCTCCAAATACCCCAGATTTTCTATCATTCTTATAACTTTTTCTGTATTCTACATAACGATCGTAAGTTAGATTTTTTTTATGTATTCCCCCAAATTTCAACACAAAAACTCATATGGCAACATAATTGTGTTATAATACATACGTCATTGTCCTGGATAAAGCTTGCTTTATACACTATTTCTACAGTTTTTACCAATTTTGATGTCATATTATTTATTTGTGGTTTATAACAAATTTTATGATCCAATACAACAACAAGAAACTTAATTGCATATACTCTTTCTATAACCTCATTATTAATTTTTAAATCTATGATATGACTACTTTTTAATTTCCCAAATAAAAATAACTTTTGTTTGACTTGTAATTAATGAAAAAATTTTTTTCGTCAAACCATAATTTCAGCTGAGTAATTTTTTTTTTAATCAACTCCATAAGTTTATAAATTAACCCCAGAACAAATATTACTTGCATCATCCACAAATAAAATAAACTTAAACAACTGTGATATCTTGCACTTATCATTTATGTAAATTATAAACAGTTTTGGACCTAAAACCGATCCCTGTGGTATGCAACAATTTACACTTGGGTATGAAGATTTATGGTTGCCAATTTCAACAGACTATTGTCTATTTTTTAAATAACTGCTTGTCCAATCCAAGGCTACTCCTCTAATTTATTTACCAACATATTATAATATATTGGATAAAATGCCTTCTTTAAATCTATAAAAACAACCATATGGCTCATCAGCTAAATGGTTTTGCTTTTCTATGAAATTTTTAAGTCTTTCAACAAAGACTTTTTCAAAAAAAAAATTTCAAAACGGAGATAGTATAGACTAACATATAATTTGTAAAGTATTGTTTATCTCCAGATTTATAAAGTGGAATTATCTTTGCAACTTTTATTATTTTATTTGGAAATTTACCAGATTGTGGAGATCTATTACAAACATAGGTTGATGGTTCTACAATGTTTTCAATTAATTTCTTATATAGATATTCATATTAATATTATTCCAATTCATGGACTATTTATTGACCCCGTGGGGACCCGGGGTAGAATAGGTCCCTAGCACCCCCTTGCTGTTCGTAAGAGGCGACAAATGGGGCAACTTGTTGGCCGTGAGTTGCGACTCGTGTTGGTGGAGGAAGAGATCCTGGTGATTGAGGATTTTGATTTGCTGCGGCTATCAATTATCCAACACATCACTTTGGCTCATACTTCAACTAGACGAGAGATTGGAAAGGCCCATTCCAATCAATCGGCTTGTCAGGACTTGCCTTTCTCCCGGAAGGCGCTGGCATAGGGTCAATTGAGTATTATAGACCCTGTGTTTATATGCTCAAGTATATCATCACTGTATCCTTGATGTACATCCAGTGGATGTCCGTGGCTCTGTACATCCCCTTGTAGGACTCCGAGGTGGGTGAGGAGCAGAGATGAAGAACAAATATCTAAACATTATGGCAAAAAATCAAAACACTAAAAAACGGATATTGGAACAAGACTTGGAGACTGAACTAAGAACTGGTTTTAATTTCCCATCTGAAAATGAAAACTGGCAAAGATTTATTGTACTGGAATCACTGACTGATGACATGCCCCTGACCAAACTGTCCCCTTTTGCGATCCACAAAGGAATCACAGGAATTGCAGGAACAGTAAAAGACATTAAAAAGCTGCGATCTGGACAAATTTTGGTGGAATGTGCTAGGAAAGCTAACTCAGACAATTTACTACAAGCAACAACTTTGGCTGGAATTACTATGAAAGCATTCCCTCATTCTACCCTGAACAACAGCAAAGGTGTAATCCGCACCAGAGAATTACAAGATATGGACGAATCTGAAATCGCTTTAGAATTAAAACCAATAGGTGTAATCGACGTAAAAAGAATAATCATCAAAAAGGATGGGCAGATGATTAAAACGGGAACATACATCCTGACCTTCAACAGACCACAACCACCAGAGAAAATCAAACTTGGATATTTAAGTGTTGCTGTAGATATATTCATACCAAATCCACTGAGATGTTTTAAATGCCAGAAATTTGGTCATGGATCTGCAGGATGCAAAAATAAGACAACATGTCAAAACTGTGGTGAGGATGATCATGGAATGAACTGCACAAAACCTCCTAAATGTAAAAACTGCCTTGGAGATCATGCAGCCTCATCAAAGAATTGTCCCATTTGGCATAAAGAGAAAGAAATACAAAAAATAAAACACACAAGGAAGATGAGTTATCCTGAAGCTCGTAAAATAGTTGAAGCTCTTCCTGCCTTCTGTCTGAAAAAGCCCTATTCTGTTGCAGTCACACCAAAAACTCAATCAATAAGTTGTCAGACGGATCTAACTTGGCTATTCAAGGACAAACCTCAAACCATAAGCAACACCAAAAACTCAACTTCCCAAAAAACAAAAAATGAACTCATTCAAACTGGACCAATTCAAGACTCATACCTAGAACAGAAAGAATCAAAAGTGAAAAAGAATACTCCAAGTACAACAAATCAACAACCAAATCAAGATAAATGTCGAACTCACAAAGATGACAATCCTAAAGATATTGAAATGACGGAGACAACGACCAGTCGTAGTCGTAGTCTCTCACCTAAATGTAAAAATAAAGGACCTGTACCTATATTTCCCACTTGAGAATAAACAATCACATAATACAGTGGAATTGTCGGGGACTAAAAACCAACTTTGCAGAATTACAGCATTTAAATTCTGTTTTTAACCCACTTGCCTATTGTATTCAGGAAACCCACTTATCTCCAAATGATGCCTTAACTTTTAAAGGTTTTAATATGATTAGTATATGTGGACCAAACATACAACGACCCTCTGGAGGATCAGCTATCCTAGTGAGAAACGACATTATCCACAGTCAAGTTGTATTGGACACTCAATTACAAGCAACAGCAGTTCAACTTACTCTACATAAAACAATTACAATATGCTCTATCTATATCCCACCTCATGAAGCTGTAATACCTCAAGAACTGGACAAACTTATTTCACAATTACCAACTTCATTTTTACTGATGGGTGATTTTAACAGCCACAACATCTTATGGGGTGATGATCACTGTGATGCCAAAGGAAGAAGAATGGAAACTTTTATAGAAAATAATGATTTATGTCTTTTAAATGATGGAACCAAAACATATCTTCATCCAGGACATGGTACTTATACAGCAATCGATCTGACAATATGTAGTGCTGATCTTTTACTTGACTGTTCATGGAGAGTATGGAATGATCTATGCGGGAGTGACCACTTCCCAATTATCCTCACATTTCCACAACTGGATGTAACAAGTAGACCTTCAAGATGGCAACTCAAGAAAGCAGACTGGACCACCTTTCAAACCTTGTGTTGTGAAAAATTTATGTCAGCTACCCAAGATAATCAGAACTCAATAGAAGACTTCACTCAGCAGTTAATCGCTATAGCAGATGAAACCATCCCAAAGACATCAACAAAACCACAACGAAAGACAAATCCCTGGTTTAATGAACAATGTAAAAAAGCTATTGAAACTCGGAAAAAAGCAGAACGTGCTTTTAATAAACATCCAACAACTACAAATTTTATCCATTTTAAAATTTGTAGAGCCCAAGCTCGCAGAACCCTAAATGAAGCAAAGAAACAAAGCTGGAAACAATTTGTATCCAGCTTAACTTACTATACTCCCATGAAGAAGATTTGGAACATGATCCGTAAAATGA